GACACATTGAATTTGTGAATTGCCTTCATCCTACAAAAGCAGAAATTAATTGGAAAAATACATATATCCCACGATAAATTCAAAGTCATGAAGAAATAATATGCTTTTAATTCTGTCTCTCTGGATTTTAACTCTTCAAATACAGCAATGTCATCATTGTCATAGTAACCAAATAGCAGCACACGGCAGTGACAGAAAGGGACATGCCAAGGAAGCGTTTATGTTCCCACCATTAACCACTACTTTATATTAAACTTGTACAACTTTCCACTTTGTAAAATTAGAGATTCACCACACCCCTTCTCCTTACAACTCAATTCTAAGATTCTGATTATTTCTTCAGTCCAGAACATATTTTTCTCCCTGCTGCAGAAGTCGTTCTATGCTTTTACTAATATCACCAAATAAAAAGCAAACCCTACATGAAAAAAAAAATCACAAAGGTCGAAAACGAATAGGTAAAGGCTTGGCTAACTCCCATCTTCCCTGAGAAGAAGGAGGGGCGAGCAAGGGAGAGTGAGTGTGTGGCTTGCTGGAAACCCAGGTACCTGGCTCCCATGAGAGACGCTAGGTGTATTTTCAGTATATGAGTGAATGTTCCAGCCTCTTTTTTCTGCTTAGAAGTTTGCCAGCATTTCCCCTGTCTGAGAAGGGATGAAAAGTCTTTCTGAGATTGCCTTCCCCTGAGTATTCATCACACTTCCCTGCTCACCACTGTAGTAACCGCGCACTCAGTAATAAGAAAGATAGTCCCACACACTGAGTTACCAGAAGAATAAAATCTTTTTATTTATTTATCTGTACTTACAATTAGCAATACCTTTTTCTGATCACAAATGGGATACCTGCCAATGCACACGTTAAAATACTGAAATTTTGGAGTTGGTGTTAAGCTGCTGCTTGGGTCACCTGCATTTGATACTGGAGTACTTGTTCAGGTCCCAGCTACTCCATGCTTCGACCTGGCTTCCTGTGCCTGGGAAAGCAGTGGATGATGGCCCGCGTACTAGGGTCACTGCCATACATGTGGGAGACTGGGGTGGAGTTCTGGGCTCCTGGTTCCTGCCTGGCCCAGTCATGGCTGTTGTGGGTATTTGAGGCATGAGCCAGCAGAAGGAAGACTTTTGTCACTCTGCCCTTCAAATAAATGAATAAATAAATCTTTTAAAGAAACTGAAATCAGAAAACAGCAAAATCACTCAGAATTCTACCCCTCACAATCCAGTCTTTTTGATAAGTCTGAGTTTGTGTATAGCAAGAAGGGACGGATGAGTGGGGGAAATTTTCTGAGTCTTAATTCACATGGGCAGAGGTGACTTAATATATGGATTTTGTGCTCTCTTTTTTAGATTTGATAAGATAAATATTTTATCATATCAATAAACTTAGTTCTATAGCATGCTATTTAGTGTATGCATACTGTGTCATTTGGATATAGCATATTTTATTTATCCACTGATCTGTTATGGGACAGATACCTTTGGGAGTTGCAGCAGAAGGGTCAGATATAGCACGTTTTTAGAATACCAAATTCAGCTTTAGAGTATAAAATGGAGCACAGCATTAACTATGCATTATTTCCATTCATGTATCTGTGGACAGTGTTTCAGTAAGGGGGAGAATTAGAGTATCATTTCTCACAATTCTGTAGGATCAACATAGCCATACCTGAGTAACTGATACCACTCATCTCATGAACAGAGTCTGTATTTCTATTTTGTTTTTTAAAGATGTTTGTATTCATTTGAAAGGCAGAGTTACAGAGAGGCCAGGGGCATGGAGGGGGGCAGCCTTCCATCAGCTGGCTCACTCCCCAGATGGCTGCACCAGGCCCATGATGGCCAAAGCTGGGCCAATCCGAAGCCAGGAGCCAGGAGCTTCTTCTAGGTCCCCCATGTGGGTGCAGGGACCCAAGGACTCGGGCCATCTTCCACTGCTTTCCCAGGTCATAGTTGAGAGCTGGATCAGAAGTGGAACAGCCGGGACTAGAACTGGCACCCATATGGGATGCCGGCACTGCAGGTGCTGGCTTTACCTGCTAGGCCACAGCACGGGCCCCAGTTTCTTTATTTCTGGTTGCTTTGATGTCTTCCACACAGTGTTGAATGAGCATGTGGGTTGTTCTGAGAGAGATCTTATCCATGAGAATAGATCCCTGCTCTCCTCCAGGTCAGAAGAAGGACCTCTGGGAGCTGCAGCAGAGCCAGTGCAGGTGCGTCCAGTGAACACATTTTGTGGAATCAATCTCTGCGTTCCACACAGTTCCTCACACACAGTCATGCCTTGCTGCGGTGTACGTCTTTGTAATCTGAGTAGCCTTTTACCATTTTAGATACCATTACTCTTTCTTGGATTCTTCCATTATAGCGATACTACACCAGCTTCCAAACACCCAGTCACATAAATGTACAAACAGCTTAAGTCTTTACGTACTCAGTCTAGAACCGTAACACTCCTGTCAAGAGAACTGAAGTATCTGGTATAATGATCAATAATCGGAAGTTGTGAAGAGCCTGTGTATTCAAGGGGTGTCTTTTACAGACTGAGAGGGTCAGGATTTCATTTTCTATTTTCTTACCTACAAACCATTAATAAAACATTTCATTAGTGTGTGATCACTTTAAGCAAAAAATATTTTTATGGGCACCAGTTGGAGTCCCAGTTGTTCTACTTCCAATCCAGCTCTCTGCTATGGCCTGAAAAAGCAGTGGAAGATGGCCCGGCCCAAGTGCTTGGGCCCCTGCACCCACGTGGAGGACCAGGAAGAAGCTCCTGGCTCCTGGATTCGGACTGGCCCAGCTCTGGCCATTGTGGCCATGTGAGGAGTGAACCAGCGGATGGGAGATCTCTCTCTCTCTGTCAGTAACTCTGCCTCTCAAATAAATAAATAAATCTTTAAAAATCATCTTAACAATTGTGCCTTTATATGAGCACACATCAATGTGATTAATCACCACAAAGTTTTGCCAATTCTACTTGAATGACTACATGACCAAACTGAAGAACTAAAGAAGTTTATACTGGACAAGGTAAAGCCCAAGTTGGTTAAACAGTTCCTGAATCCATAATACCTACAAGGTAAACTCAATTCTCTTAAAAAAAAACTAGTATACATGTAAATTATGATGTGTGAGTAATTCATGTTTCAATGAGTGAAGTCTGAGGGGAGGCACGGACACAAAGAGCCACTCGTGCAAGGTGCAAGAAGACAATTGTTCTGCAAATACATTTTGCTAAAGACTAGAAAATTCTTGGGGAAAGACAACCTATATAATAACTCTTAATCTTTAATCTTGTGATCATCTCTTAAACATCCAAAGACATTGCATACTTTTTCTTGACAAATTTCAGCAATCTAGATTCATAACTTCACATCACACCAGTGACTTCTTCCTAGAAGTATGCCTTATGTTTCATTAGTCTCTCATAGTAACATGAAACCAAGCATAGTACCTTACACACAGCAGGCCTTTTAACAATGTCAAGTGGACACAATTCCAATAACTGCATCACATTCTTGTAATTGAAGTGGAAGAAACAGAATGAAAAAATTCCAATAAAACAGGAATTCTACATTTCCCTAATCTAGATTTCCAGGACCCTCCTAGACCTGCCTCTGTAATGTATAAAGCTACGGATGGGACGTTGGAAACACCCTGAAGACCCCAAGATGCAATTTTTCTCCTTTAGAAAGAGGTTTATCATAATACTTAACAAGCAGATCTGAGTGTCAATACATACGGTTAACCCAAAAAGAAGGTAAAACTCCCACGTGTCGGAGCATTGAGCAGAGGTGTAATTCTCATTCCTATTTCACGCCACGTTTCTCTGGCCCAGTGGACTGAAGGCAGAGTCTGGAAAACTCTGCCGTCAGGACAAAGAGCAGGCATGCTTCCTGCTTTCACCCCCTGGTGGCCAATGTGGGTGCTACACTTCCTGCTGTGCTCCAGGAGCAAAGAAGCCCAACAAACCGGTATATTCCAAAGACACTGCACGATTTCACTTAGACTTAGGAGAGGAGAAGCGGAGTTCTGCTGCTATTTAGTGAACCAACAGCAGTTTGGTAGTTAAGGATGTAGATACGGAAAGAGAGTGAGAATGAAAAGGAGACCTCAGTGTGATGACAGGGTTTGTTTCTATCTAGGACAATGCTGAGGTGCCTGAATCAAATACCAGAGAAAGTGACAGTTATTTTAACATAAATAATTCATACTGGCAAGCATCCAGTTTCACTCTGTAAAACATACTGCCTACATCCTGAAACTAAACTATAAATTGTAAGCAAAAATTATGTTTTATTATCTTAGCAAATGAATATTATCATATTAAAAAACTACATGAGAACAAAACATAAGATATCAGAGCTCTTGTGGATTAAAAAATTTGTAAGATTTACTGTTAAATAATTATTTACTAGCAGAAGTAGCTAATTATTTGTCTGATATAACACTTATAATTGGGTAAAATTCATATGAATGTTAGAACTGTGATATTGAGAATACATTTTATGACAGTAAAATCAAATCATGTTCCTAGAAAATTTTAGTGCCATCCTTTGAATGAGAAGATAATCAGCATTTACAAAAATTACATATGAATTTTTAAAATTAGGATTAAAGTATAAGGTAGATGCCAAGGGCTGGCAAACTTTCTCTGCAAAGATACATAGAGTAAATATTTTAGGATTTTTCTGTGAAGCTAAAGATTGTAAATATTTTAGGATCTCAAGCTACATATGGCCTGTGTCCCAAACACTCAAATCTGCATTGTGATGTAAAAAATCCCACAGGCACTAACTACATCAGAACTGTGTTCCAATAAAACTTTATATACAAAAGCAGCTAGACTACGGGCTGCAGCTTGCCAACTCTTGAAGTAGACGGCATATTAGTAGAACCGGCATTACATGGGAAAGAGAAAGGATAGCTTCACAGTTCTCAGGATGAGGAAATCTCGGGACATTTTGCAGATCTTTACTGATTCTTAAATGCAAATCTTACCTGATTAGGGATCCTCAATGGGGGCCTTGGACCTCCAGGGTACCGAGGTGACATGAATGGCTATCAAACAAACACAAAAAAGCACAGCGTGAAATACAGATCTGCAAAGGAGCTACTTTTAAAAAGCTTTAGGATCCTACAAAACATACATCAATTTACTTTAAATGTCTTCTTTTAGGATAACAAACACTTTTTAAGAACAATTAACTTATTTTTATCTTGCAAGATATCTGGAAAATTTTCCAAAGAAAATGTAAAAACATCAAAACTGATTAAAGTAACTGAAGCAAAATTTTTTAAAAATATGAATGATCAAGACAATGGTACTTCATTGGCAAAAAATAAGATGAAGAAACAAGCAGTAGAATCTCAGCGGAAACCTCAGGAGGGGCTTTCTGGCTACATTATTAGACATATTAGGTCTCAATGTATACTTCTGACTGGATCTAATAATTTTTTTTAAAGTTTCACTTTTCCTTTTGTGGTTCTGTTCAAAATGGCAAAGAAATTCCTTTTCTAAGCGTCATTTGTAGCCAAAAAAATCTTTGGCTCTCTCTCATCATGGGTTTGTTTTAAATCAAGATCGACTAAGTTTTCAAGATGAAATTTCTCTTCTCACTTTTTTTATTTTTTTTTATTTTTTTGACAGGCAGAGTGGACAGTGAGAGAGACAGAGAGAAAGGTCTTCCTTTGCCGTTGGTTCACCCTCCAATGGCCGCCGCGGCCGGCGCACCGCGCTGATCTGATGGCAGGAGCCAGGTGCTTACCCTGGTCTCCCATGTGGGTGCAGGGCCCAAGCACTTGGGCCATCCTCCACTGCACTCCCTGGCCACAGCAGAGAGCTGACCTGGAAGAGGGGCAACCAGGACAGAATCCGGCGCCCCGACCAGGACTAGAACCCGGTGTGCCGGCGCCGCAAGGCGGAGGATTAGCCTAGTGAGCCGCGGCGCCGGCCTCTCTTCTCACTTTGACCCTAGTAGATTATGAAGTGCGTATCTTAAACAAAAGAAAATAACAGTCTTTTATCAGAAGAGTTAATTAACGTCGTCGGTACAAGAGTCAGGAGCTGCAAAAGCATGCTGAATCTTTTAGGCTACAAACGGAAAACAATCCTAAAAGCACCATTACTCAATGCTGGATGGAAGAAGAATATTTCTGCTCATTCAGCCTCAGGCACCACATTTTTAAATGTATATTAAATTATTTGAAATTCCATTTTCAGTATTTTTTTATGAAAAATGGAACACTATAATTTTGCTTAATTAGCTCTCCATTTATAACTATCTAAATGTAAGATTCCCTATTTGTAATATAAATAAATATCAAGTATAAAGAGTTGAATATGATTTAGATTAATATAAATTAAGAATCAATACATACAAAATAGAGAGTAGAGCAAATCAAATTCATAGCACTTTACAGAATTAAATCCTACATTAATAATGTTCATTCTATAAACATTTATAGAAATTAGGCCCACATTTCATGACTATGTGTTTTCCAGGGCTTTTTAAAAGGCATACTCTGAAAACCAAAATTCTAACAAATTTATGCAATACAGATTTTTTTTAAGAGTACCACCGTCAAGAGGAGCTCTATAATAAGCAAGGAATCTGGTTTTTGCTTACTGTGTTCTTGCAGGCTAGGAGTTTGTTGTATATGGGCAGAAGCAGTGAGTCATTCAGGTAGTATTTCTCATCCATATGACAAAATTTAAGCAGATTTTCTAATTTTAACAAAGTCGATTTAAAAAATATTTGGTTTTCCCATTTGATCAAAGCTGTCTCTTTTTCATCACTTCTAAAACGTAATTACTTAAGAAAGTAATTCTATATTGCCAATTAGCAACCACTTCAAACATCAACGTTCCTTCTCTTGTCTTCACTTTCCTTTCTAGATCTAATGTCACCTAAGGAACAGTCTTACATCCTGTGTTCAACTGGAAAGCGAAGTAACTAAGTACTGTGTCATTGGTCTTGCAAGGATTGCTTTTCTTTTCCTAAGAGTTATCTATTTATTTATTTTAAACACAGAGAGAGGGAGACAGAGACCTTCCATCCACTAGTTCACTCCCCAAACAGCTGCAATGGCCTGGGCTAGGCCAGGCTGAAGCCAGGAGCCAGGAGCCTTATCCAGGTCTCCTATTCGGTTGCAAGGGCCCAAGCACTTGGGACACCTGCTGCTGCTTTCCCAGGTGCAGTAGCAGGGAGCTGGATTAGAAGCGGAGCAGCCAGATCTGGAACCAGTGTCCATATGGGATGCCGGCATCGCAGGCAGAGGTTCAACCTGCTGCACCATGCCACCAGCCCTGGTGGCTTTTCTTTTACAGGTTGATGTCTTGGGCCAAATTCTCTACTGCAAAGTGTAACACCAAACTGTTTTTTTTTTTTTTTCAGCAAATGTAATTAAAATTCCTCTCTATGAAAACATCACATTAAAATGGAATACAAGGTGGAAGCTATATTAAAATATGATTAAATATCCAATGTTGAGACAAATGTTGAGAAGTGCCTTATTTGAAAGAGCATTTGAGAACTGCATGTTCACCTGGTTGTAAAATATGCTATGTGTTAACCTAACAGAACACTTCATCAGAGAATTTCTGAAGCTGACTCCATGGATGGGACTGTCTGTGCCCTCCTACCTGGCAGTGAGACCCCATCTGTGAGGGACTGTGTAGTGTGGCAGCCAGGAGCCTGCAGGCTCCTTTAATAAGCTGGCAAAAACCCATTCTGCCTGTTTCTTAGCCAGTTTGTCTCCTCTTAAATATCTTCCTCTAAGTTCAAATTCATGTGCTTTAAAAAAAAAAATGAGAACCACTTACAAACTCTGTATTTACACAGTGAAACTATAAAATGACAGATCTAGCTAATTTACATAAAGACCTACTACTTCAACCTAAAATCTATTCCGTTGGTTAAAATATTTTTTAATCTGAAGAGTTAGGGGTGTTTTAAGCTCTTGATAGTCATATTGATCCTTACTTTAATCTAAATAACCACTTAACCCAACTGCACAAAGAATCAGCCTGTGTAGACGGAGCACCTGAAGCCAAACACCAGCATGGCAGTGACTGAGAACACTCTGCACTAATTCCTGTGTTGCCTTTCTCCTGATGATATGAACTTTATCAACACACACGTGCGTCCTTCCTGTATTAATAATCTGGGAGAAATAGGTTTTTCAAGAGTCCTTGGTTCTGAAAGTATGTTTATTCTTTGTATTTGGAGTAATACTTTTTTTTTAAATAAATCATCAAATATTTGCCTGATGATATGATGGGGAAGCAGCATTTAAGTGGGAAAAAGCCTTCCCCTTGAAAATGTTATTTTTAATGTGTGTTGGAAAAACAGCTGAGTGGAGTCCAGGGTCTGGCGTTTGTGCCCCCATGTATTGGGTAGGTGGTTGGGGACACTCAGGGAACACAGCAGGTGAAGACCACTGTCCCTTGTTTGGACGTTTTCAAGGTTTGTAGTTTTGTCATTAACAGGAGAAACAATTTTCTGCAAAAATTGGTTTCTACATCAGTCCACTAATCTGGAACAAACAGAACGCTCTGCGGCCAAATGGCAGACAAGTATCAATGAAAACCAAAAGAAAATATTTCAGTCTGGCGTGTTCCCTCCAGAAGGCATCCACACCATCCCTCCTGGGTGGAACAGGTAGTGCTGTGCGTGACTGAAAGTCAAGGAATGCTTTCAAAAGGTTTCCAAGTTAGTCAAAACTCATGGAATAAAGTCCTTTATGAGATAAACTGGAGCACAGTCGGGACTCTGACATATGGAAACTACACATCTACGTATACAGTCCTCTATGTTTCAGTTCTCTGCCTGTGAGATGGATTGAATGCTTATGCCCCCACGAAATTCATATATGGAATCCCTAGTGATCCCCGATGTGATGATACGTGGAAGGAAGTGATTAGGTCAAGAGGGTGGAGCCCTCATGGATGGGACTGGTGTCTACACAAAGAGGCACAAGGAGAGAGATCAAGCATAAGGCCCTCTACAAACCACCAGGGTCCCCTTCCAGGAATTAAACCTGCTGGACTTGAACTCGGACCTCCAGTCTGCAGAACCCTGAGGAGCAAGTGGCCGTGGCTGGGGCCACCAGCCTCTGGCATCATGATTACAGCGGCCAAGAATGAACGGGGTTACCCAAGGCAGGGAAAAACACAAACCCAACGAATGACTGGGGTTACCCACGGCAGAGAAAAACACAAACCCAAGGAAAGGAACTCAGTAAATATTTGATGACAAAATGAAAGAAAAGAACACTCTGATAGAAACACAAACCAAGTGTCCAGCTCATTTCCTCTTAATAGTCTTAAGACACAAAAATCACACCACTTAGAATCATAATTTATTTCCGAATGAATGCCATGAAATTTTAAAAGGTTATTATTTCCCATTATATCAAGAATTATTCATGGAACTTTAAACTTCTGCTTTATAAAAAGGAGAGCCTTTTCTTTATTCCTTGCTGCTTCTGCTGGTGGGAAGTCAGCTTCCCTCTTCTCGTGTTTGATCTTTCATGAGCCCCAGTGTTTTATCTCAATTCCCTAAGAATCAGACGTAACCAGCTCTTTCTGGGATTACTCAGCCCAATGCTTCCCGTCTCAGAAGGTCCCAGACCCCTCAACGGAATCGTTTTATAAATAATTTATGAGTACCGAAATTTGAGGTGATATGAACCATTTTAAGCCTTAACTTCGCTTACGATATATAGTAACACTTCACATCTTCAATGACATCATTCAAACACTGCTAAATTTGTTAATGTTTTCTAACATCAGTAATTTCTTTAAAAATGCGACTATGATTCATCAACCAAAATATCTTCTCTTCCTTAAAGTCACTCCATAGTCTCTCTGCCAAGTACATGTGTTACAACCCTAAGGGGGGTTTAACTGTCTCTTTCTCTTTAAGAATCCTTGCAGACTCCCCTCCCTGTTTCATTAGCACTCCGTGCATACCGCTATCCCCAAGGACTTCGAGCACTGCAGGGCAGTGCATGCTGGGACGTGAAGGCAGCCCACCAGGAGGGAAGCACACAAAACT